CTGGGCACAATTCAGGAGCCACTTGTCAAAAGAAACTAACTTTATTTTTAGAACTACAAACGCCAAACAAAACAGCTCCTCAGGAAAAAACCCTCAGAGCCCAACTGCCACCACTGGCTTCCACAAGCCTCTCACCCACACAAACCTCACCACCTCCCACAATCCTCCTGCTCTTGAGGCCGATTGGCTGGGTCGTGTGGGCGGAGCCAAAGAAGTCCCCCAATGAGCAGCTCCGTGGTCTGAAAGGGCAGGGAAACAGCCCAATGAACATCACTGCAGAGGAGCCAATCAGCTAGATGTTGCTGGGGCCCGCTGTGAGCAAATCATCAGCTGGCAGCTGGAAGTTTGCTGGGGTCCCTTTGGCTGTGGCTCCCAACAAATCTGAATCCTTTGGGGATGTTTTTGAGTTTTCAGGTATGGTTCAGTAGGGTTGGGCTTGGGCCTGAGATCCTGCTATTCATTGCTTCCTAGTGATGTCAGTGTGGCTGATCCTTCATCACACTTTGAGTACCAGGCACAAATGAAGTGAGACTGGTTCAGCACCACGGACAGTGAAATGGGTGGGGCACCACTACCATTATGCTTCCATTTCAGTCAAGTCTTTATTGTCTGTGGTAGACTCATACTAAAATACACTATCAGAATATTTTTTAAAAGAACTTCTTGGATGGCTATCAGCCATGCGGTGAACTTTCCATTTGTATAAATACAAATCTGTCTGGAGGAAATAACTAGGGTTTTTAAAGAGAGAGTATGCTGAGTATGCCCTTTCTAGCATGTTTCTTTTTCTGAGATACTGGGGATTGAATCCAGGGAGCTTTACCACTGAGCTACATCAACAGCCCTTTTTATTTTCATTTTGCTATAGGATTTCACTAAGTTGCTGAGGCTGGCTTCAAGCTGGTGATCCTCCTGCCTCAGCCTCCTGAGTAGCTGGGATCACAATCATGGGCCACCATGCCTAGTTCCCTTCTAGCATTTTTAACAGGTATGCTGACAGTGCCCCTTAGGCAGAAGGAATCTTATCAGGTTTATTATCTCATCAGGAAGTTAATACAGAATTTATAAAATATTTAAGTCGCCGCATCAGTCTTAACATTATAAGGCATCTATTTGAGAGGGATTAGCAGTCTCAGTTGCACATTTGATGAACAGAAAAAGAATTAGCAACAGCTTTCTTCTGCTACATCTACTACACTATTAGCCAATTATACCTAATCAAAAGAAAAAAAAATATGACAAACTGCTATTCCAAATCACAGTGAAATAAAATTATCTTAATTTATTTTAAAATGCATTTCCAATGCCCCTTTCTCTTTATTGTATTCATTCTACACATTTTCTTATTTCAAGGATAAAATCAGAAAAATAGTTTTCTGTTTTGCCTTTATTCTTCTTTGTCCCCTACTTTAAAACAGCAACCACGGCTGCCAGCAGAGGAACCTCAGGGGCTTTAAAACTATCAATCTATTTCACAGCAGGAGCAAAGTAATTCAGATAAAAGTCAAGCAAACAATTCCAGTTATTTCCCCTATTGAAGACATTTTTATTTTCTGGTTGAGGACCCCTTCTCAAATTTGGGGATACTGTGGAATATATTTGTTGCAAAAAGTGGGTATAATTTCACACACAATTTCTAACAGGCTTTCTTTTAGCCTTGTTATCTGATCTACTTAAGAATACTCATTTTCATTCCAATGTATGCTTCCACTTTTCATTAAAATTCTATTTCCATCCATTAGAAAACATTTATAATTTACCAAGATTGCGGATGTTGATCTTCATAGTTTGACATTTTTTCCTCAAGATAATGAGACTTTCTTTCTTGACCATACCATTAAAACAAATTTGTGGAGTGTGTGTGTGTGTGTGTGTGTGTGTGTAATTAAATGTGTTGAGGATCTATGTAATAGATGAGAAGAATCTTAATATTATAAATTATTTTAATAAATTTCTCAATAATATTTGAAAATAGGTAATTTGCTTCTACTTAAGGAATAGGAAATATTAGGTTCAAAGTCTTTATTTTAGGTGGTTAAACTTGAATGATAGGGAGGATCACCATCTTTCCACCATACGGTTTTCTAAGATGGGTTTGTTCTAGTGGAAGCTTACACATCTCAAGTAGATACAGAAAACAACATCAATAACAAAAACACATTATGTGTGAAGTACAGTGCTGATTTGATGGTAAGAGATAGGAAATAGTTAATTCTCATCTATTATTTCAAAAGTGGGTGTAGAACTAAAATTTAAAATCCATTACTGGCATATTATATTCACTGGGCTCTTTTCAGATGGAAAAAATATTGGCCATTAGCAAAGATTAAATAATTTACCTGAGCTTACATTGAGCACTCAACTCCAGAAAAGTATATCTTGGGAGTTGCTTGGACTACTGTAAGTGTAGATAATCCTCAATTTATATGACATTTTATCTCAATCTTCACTGAGACTAATGGTCATCATTTTTAAAGAAATTTAAGTAATTTCCTTTTGGTTCTCTTACCTAGTCCATCTTTCTTCTTTTTCTATTTTTGGTTGAATCACTGAAATCTAAGTTTAGAAACAAGAAATCACTGCCACTGAGCATAAGAATATGCTTATTTCTTTTTTCATGGTCCTCATCAGTCTCTTTTTGAAGAATGCTAAGCCACTAAATGCCTAAAATGGCTCCATGGCCATGGTAAATGTTTCACTGCATGTTTCAAAGAGGGTGTCAAAAGGATTTTTCTGCACACTATGAGCCTATTATTCATTAAACTAGTGAGAGTTATCAGGAAGTGTTCATTCTTAGGATCTTTGTGGAGAAATGTGGCTTCAGGTACTACTTTATAAAATGCAGTGGCAGCAGCTAGTAGGAAAGCCCAGTGGACTCATGTGCCTTTAGAGGGGTTTCTTGACAAATGTGTAAGAAAACCTAAGAGTATTGAGCAGGTGGCTCTGGGCAAAATAGTACTGGATGCACATGGACTAAAACTAAAACCACAGATGGGTTAGAAAGGTGACTCATTTCTCCACCCCACTCCAATTCTTTGGTCCCCTCCTTTTTTTTTTTTTTTTTTTTGATATAAGGGATTGAACCCTGGGAGCTCAATCCCTCAGTCATATCCCCAATCCTTTTTATTTTATATTTTGAGTCTGGGTCTCATTAAGTTGCCTTTTCTTTTTTAAAAAAATATTTCATCTATGAGATTTCTACTCAAAAGTAATCTGCAAATTATTTTACTCAAAGCAAAGTTTTACCCCAATAAGTCTATTTCTTTTTTAAATAACTGTTTATTTATTTATTTTAGTTGTAGTCGGACACAATACCTTTATTTCACTTTTTTATGTGGTGCTGAGGATCGAACCCAGGGTCCTGCAAGTGCGAGGCGAGCGTTCTACCGCTGAGCCACAATCCCAGCCCCCATGCCAGTAAGTCCATTTCTACAGTCTTTCTACATCGCCATGTCTAATTTCTAAGATTTTCTTTTAATGTGGAAATTTTTGTACGGAAGACCGCCCCCTCTCCATACATTTTCTACCCCGGAAGTAGACTTTTCTCAAAAGTGATATCAGCAGATCATATATTGAAATACACAAATAGACAGCAACAGAATACCATATTTCCTTCCAGTTTATCACTTAAAAACATCCAGGAACACACAGATTTACCATATCACTACCGCAGGGGGCTGGTGTGCTTTGCACACTCCAGTGTGGTGGTTGAAATATTCAGTAATTCAGAATTATACGATAAACTTATTGAATTGACCTTCATGTATACAGTCATCACTCTATCTCTGCTGAATTGGGGGTAACTATTGTATTATTTGACGAATAGGGCACAGTTTCCACTCACTGAGACAAGGAGGAGGGGCAAAGTCAATCCCACGTTGACTTTGACATTTGGAGTTCAACTTCAGCATTGTTTATTGGAGCCCTGAGCGACTTAATCCGCCTCAGTCCTAGCTCTGACTCCTCAAGCCCTGGACCCTCGTTCCACACTCCCCAGGGCTGGGCACTGTGGGCAGTTCTCCACGTGGGTCTGGTTTGGTTCTTTCTCAGCAGCACTCGCGCAGCCGCCAGGGGGACCCCGACCCGCCAAGGTGGCATCTGATAAGAAAGCGTCTGAGGGGCGTGGAACCGAGGGTCCTGAGGCGCCGGCTCCAAGAAAATCCCCAAATCGGCCGGGGCTCCCCCAGTGCAGTAGGGAACCGCAGGACCGGGATCTCTGACTTTGGAACCCGGGTCCGGCTGCAACCAGAGGCGAGTGGGTGTGTCCGTTTCCGCCCTCTGGCCTTCAGCCCTGCGAAGGGCGCCTGAAAGCGGTACTTTGTTCTCCAAGATGGATTTTGTCGGAGGCTGATCTGGGCTCTAGAAGTGCAACTTTGCGACTCGGGGGCACATCGGCGAGACTGGGGGTCCTGAAGCGGAAGGAGTGGATTCTGTTTGCATTCTCCAGGAAGAGGGGGCCGGCGGGGCCGGAGGAGTTCCCACGGGTCGTGGGTGGCAACGCGATTGACACCACACCGGTCCCGAGCGCGCGGCGACGCTCCTGGAAGCCCGCCCCGCACCCCTCCCCCAGTTCTCCCCTTCGAGGTTTCGGGATTGAGATCTGGGGCTGGGATCCGTCAGGAGCCTAGCAGAAAACTTTCCCTCCCAGACCCAGATACCTTTTGTCTTTCTTGGAAGCGGCGGCAACGCCTGAGCAGTGGTCCCTTGCCCCTGCCTCGCTGGCTGCCCTCGGTGCCCGTGCCCTCGGTGCCCGCGCCCTCGGAGGGCAGGAACGCTTGGACTCTGCGCCCCCGATGGCGGCGGCCGGCGACCCCGCAGCCCCGGGCGGGCACAAGCAGCGGCGCGCCCCCGGGTCCGAGGCCTCCGGCGTCACCCAGGCGCGGGGGTAGGAGCGACTGCACCCCCTCCGCCCGCCCCCTCGCCTGACTCATCCGCCCCCGGTGACCGCGCCGAGTCGGCTGCCCGAGCCCCGCCAGGATGGGTAGGGAGACCGCGGCTGCTAGTGGCTGCCAGGATTCCTGCTGACGCCCCCGACCCCACCGCCTCCTTCTCTGCCTCCGGAGGCACCCGCCGTCGGGACAGCTCGAGGAGCGAAAACCAAGAGGTCACTGGACACCGAAGCTCTGCGCTCACGACAGGTGAGGGGGCAGGAAAGAGCGCTGCTGGGCGTGGGGAGGTAGGTGGGCAAGCCCTGTGGCTGAAACGGCACGCTTCTTCAGCCTCCTCTCCTCCCCTCCGCCTCAGCCTCCAGAGTTAGGATAAACACTGACGCCTGAAGTTTGGGAAATAAACCAAGTCCGACATCCGTTCTGGACTCCTAAGTCCCCAGAGCGCAAGAAAAGCCTCACGGGGCAGCCTCCGAAAACCCGGAGTCCTGGTGTGCCTGGCCAGGTTTCTCCAAGCTACACCCTCCTTTGTTTCGGTTCCAGGGAGTCAGCATTCTCTGTAAAGATGTCCATGTCGTTAATATATGGCAGAACAAAGTATGGGCAGGGGTTCCTAAAGCAGTATCTCTGTGTGGTTGTACCTACATGGGCAAAAAAGGAGAGGTGAAAGCAATTATTTGCAAAATTCAGCATTACTGTTTTTTTTTTCCCCTGTAAAGTCTGTCCTTAAGAGAAAAGGTTTGCAAGATTTGCTTCATTAATCATTCTTTTGGGATAATTAATTGTTCAAGCCAACACTTCACATTGTGTGGGCGCAATCTCTCTGTTAGTATTTGCTGCACTTTGATTTAGAGAAGTGTGTGTGTGTGTGTGTGTGTGTGTGTAATAATGATAATTCATTGTTCAGTAGCAGGCATTGGTAATGTCAGAAAGAAAGACAGGTGCATACACACACACACACACACACACACACACACATATATATATATATATATATATATATATATTAATTGGAATGTGCTCCTCTACACTTTAGTGTGGTGTATTTAAAATGTTGGTATTACCTTGTCATTTCTTCTGAAAACGTTCAGAAGTAGTTGTGGATAATATTTCAGAAATCTACAGATATTGTTTGTCAGTAAGTATATTTAACTTTTTGGTTTTGCAGTCAAACCAAGTTCATAAGTTCACTTTCTGTAGTATTTTTTGCATAAATGTTAACAATGCCTGTGAGTGCTGTTTTCTTTAATGGTTTGTCATTTTTTGCATTGTGAAAACACATAAAATGTCCTTCAGTTTGTTATTCAGGTGCTGATACTAGAAAATAATACCATTTTGTAAAAAGTAGGCTAAATTTTGAAACTTTTAAAACTTTGCTTCATTTTTCCACTACTGTTTACCCATACCAAGCATCTGGTAGTAGTTTCATGCTTTTCGACAACTCAAGTGAGAAATAGGAGTTCTTCTAAACAGAAAATAATGCTTCCGTTAAGTGGAAACTATAGTTCAATATTTTAGCAATTTTATGTTATGGGTGTTTTACTTTTAAAAATGTATAATGAAGTGAGGAGAATTTTTCATTCTTTTAATTAGAGATTTATAGTTTTATATATAGTAATTGGGTTCATCCTGACAAACTCATATGTGCATGGAAATCCTTTTTAGTTCATGATTCCCCTCTCCCTTTTCCTCCAGTCCTTCCAAGTCCTGCTACATAGCTTAAAATCATGAGATAATTTAGTTATAATTTGTATTTTTGGTTATATAATTATCTTCATTGTCTTTGTATCTAGTCTGGGAAAGCCTTCACTAAAGAGGAAATTGATATGTAGAAAGTCTCTGTATGCAATTTTCAAGCAGTTGGGACAGAGAAGGCTTTACCTGTTGCTTCTGATGCAGGTCTAGGTAAGTGCAGAGTATCCAAAATATACCAGAAATCAGAAAGATTTAAAAGATCAGGCAGGATCACCGTAAAAGGGGGTGGGTGCACTTGTCATTTCAATTTGGAAGAATTTTTAGAGAAGTGTTGAATGCTTCAAGAGTTACATGGCTATATTTGGACTTGTTTAGTTTCAGGATTTTGACAATAGCTCATTGGACAGAGAAAGATGACTACTAACATATAAAGTAAATGAATTTCAATTGATTGGTTAAACTCTCTCATTCCCAGGGGAAATCTTAGCATAAGGAAAAAAGAAATTCGTATTTTACTTATAGAAACTGATAAGGACAAAGATAGAAGCAAAAAATCACCTTTTTATATCTTAAGCAAAAAAGATAATATTAAGTCCTCATAGCAAGTAATACATTTTCACATTATTTATCAAACAATGCAAAATGTAAAAGAGGATATAGTTTAAAAATAAATTTCGTGAACTGTTACTCACTCTAAGCAAAATATATTGGGAAAAAGAACTTGTGTAGTGACAGAAAAATAAACCTGCAATGAGATCGACCTTTCATTTTACTGAGGAATATGTGATTTGCAGTTTTATTAAGTTTATCCACTTGTTTCTGTACTTAAAATATTTTTTGTTTGCTGAGATCCGAAATGTGCCCCAACACTCAGAAAACATCAAAGGGGCTTTGCTGGGGTGCCATGCAAGCTAACAAACACTCTGATGGTAGGTTCTGGGCTGGTGGTGACGGGTATGGTCAATATGCCACAGGTCACCTAGCAGAACAAGGGTGTCTGTGAGCACCAGGGAGCTGCTTCGGACCAGGGAACAGTATGGTGTTTTGCAAAGGGCAAGGAATGGGGAGCTGTCATCTTGACTGAGCTACTGATTACATGTCCCAGTAAAAGTTCCTTGACCTTTGTGGAAGAAAAAGTACTTTGGACTGGTGACCTTTACATTCTTTTAAAATACTGCATGATGAATTCTGATGGAATTAAAGGCAGGGAGAAATCAGAATGTGTGTGGGGGATGTGACTTTACAGTTGGAGGGAGGCAGGTTGGAGGATGTGCTGGTTGGAAGGCATGGATAATGGCTGTGATGATAGGTAATAAAGGCGATTTAGCCTAAGGCATCTGGCCCATCATTCATTATCTGAGTTGACAATACAGAATAAAATAATAAATACCAATTTTCACTTGGTACTTGATGTTTTTTGATGAGTCTTTACAAATAATGGCAATTGATTTTCATAGCAACCCTCCGAGGTAATTAGAGCAGAAAGGTGACAAAACCAAGACTAGTACTGCAAAGCAAGTTTGCATCAGTATGAGCCATTGACTTTCTGCAGGGTTTATAGAGATAGCAGAAGCTAATGCACACTTCAGAAACCCTGAATAAACAGGAGAGAAGGATAAGGTTGGTGTCAGATTTCTGTGGAGGTTGAATTTCTGAGTCAAAATTTAGCTTACATTTTCAAAGACAAGAATCTCCAATTATGAGACTAAGATGCCCAGAAGGACCTTAAGTTCACAGCATATATGTTCATTCTGATTGCTCCAATTTTCACTTCCCCCCACCTCATTTCCTTCCCCTTCCCTAGCAGATTTCTGGGAATATGTCGATCACAGAGTAATTGATAAGACTAGTTCAAGAGCTTTGAGTACCACTGGAAAAAGTAAATATCCATAACTTCAATAAAGGTGAGGATTCTTGTGTTAATTAGTGGGGAGTGTTCTAGTAGCAAGTTGTGCTTTGGAAACTTTGTCCCCAAAGGTGAAATTATGCAGAAAACATAAGAGTGTAGCCAATTGTGGATCCATACATTTCCTCTGCAGTACCTTCTCACTCTGTCCTGAACACCAGTTGTGTCAAGAATCCCCCGCCCCGTACCACCACACTACCCTGTGTTTTTCTGGGAGGGAGTTCGTCAGGATTCATTTAATTATGTGCACAAAGAAACTGCATCTACCTAGGTTAAACAAAAAGGATTTATTGACAGACATGAATGGAAAGTCCAAAAGTGGACCTTGTTTTAGTCACAGCTGGAACCAGAGATTCACATGTCTTGTAGGGTTATTTCTTCCCTTTCTCATTTCTTAGCTCCACTTCTCTCTGTATGTACAGAGATAGATCACTGTTGGAAGTTACAAGACTCCACTCTTGGGTTGGGGTCCATAAGAAAGAAAGATCCTGTCTCTTCCAGATTCTGTTTGTGTGACTCTTTTGGAAGGATTCTGAGTGGCCTTGCTTTGTGGTTATGGCATCAGTCTCTATGTCCAGCAGAGATTTGCTTCTATGATAATCTCAGACTAAATCTTGTACCCAACTTTGTGTATATGTGGTTCTGGTGGTAGCCAGATTGGGAGGAGGAGGCTGGTCCATGAGGGACAATTCTATTGAGATCACATAGAAATGTGATTCTCTCAAGAAAATGATGCTGCCAATTAAAAGTAACATGTCTCTTACTGTTGATAATTTCTCTTCTTACACAAAGATGTGGAGTTTGCCCATGGAGGCAACTCAGGTACCCAAAGCTGTTCAAGTTCCGATAGTGGGACCTTCCTCCTAACCAAGGTGATATTCAGTGATGAAATAATTCCCTCCTGCCTAGGCGTGTTAAAAGAAGTGTGATTTCCAGAATAATATTGAACAAGGAGTCCCCAGTTTATCCATATCAGTGTACTATTAGCAAATCCCTGTGCTTTATTTCCAGCCTAGGGATTTCATTTTCAGAAGCTGCCCATCTGGTCATTATGAGATTGAGGACCTTTGCTTTGGGCATTGTAGACCAGGGAAAACTCAAACATGGAAGTGATGTGATGAATCCAGAAATATTATTTATGCAGTTCATTGGGTTTGTTGGAGATGGGCTAAGGGGGAGCAGCTGGCACAACTTAGGGTTTGTACTTAAGATAAGATATTGGATCCCTACTTAGAGTATTGATGGAAACTGTGTGTGAGCAGCATTATGAATTTCTGGTGAGGTTTTATAAGTCAGGATGAAGAAGTATCTGTGTTAATAGAAGCATTTGTGGAATGGAATGAGTCAGAAGGGACCGGACCAGGAAGACAGGCTGGGCCAGTAGGTGAAATGGTTGTGCATGGTGGTAGATAGGTCAACATCAACTGGATTGTGTAGAAAGGCAGCCAGTGGTCACTCTGAGTCCTAGAGGCACGTGTAGAACTGACTTTTATTGAGGACCTACCTGGTATGGGAGATCCTGTGTTGTATGCTTTGAGCTCATTGTATTATTTAAACTTCATAACATCCCTCTAAAGTAAGCAAATTAAAAGTTAGGGGAGGTAGGTTTACTCAAGATTATGTTATTATTAAGTAGTAAGTCTGGAATTCA